TTCAAAAGATCTTCTTTAATCGTAAAATCACTAAAAACCATCCTGACGAAGACGGCCATCTGGGCAGTGTCAACGACATCTGTTGATTCATCCAGTTGAAGTGAAAAATAATCACAGTTATCTAAGTCAGTTCTTAACTGTAAAAAAATATCATTGCTCATTACTTCTACACGTCTCATCACTGTATTAGCAGAAAGTTGCATAGATTTTATAGCTAAAACTATCTCGTCTTTATTTCTAAAGTTGGCAAATAACGAATCAGCAGCTTCTAAAAACGCGTGTTTTATCATTTCCCCGTCTTCATAAGGTTTCTTTTTTTGTGCAATCATCTGGGACACACGGTACGATGCTTCAGTTGCAGCCCTATTTTTGTCGACTGTTCTTAAAAATATTGATTGTTGTCCAATTAATTGCTTTTTTAACTGTTTCAGTTTCTCCTTTCTGGCGGCAGAATGTAGTGGGAATGATTTTTCAAAATTAGAATGTACAGTTTTATGATGTCTCTCAATATTTCCTTTTTTAGCAACGGAGACCGAAGTATTACATAACAAACACACATTTTCATCTTTAACTTCTGTAAAAAAGTATTGTTCTTCCCATTCCGAATGAAAGTGGTATGTCTTTACCTTCTTACAACTGCTTGCCATAATATTATTTTTTGTTGTTCTCTACTAACCCAACTGCTGGACGTTGGTTACGCGTTCGGTTTTAATTCTTAAAATTTTGTTGAAGTTGCTCAACACATGGAAAAACAATGTATTTATTTCCAACCAATGAGATTGAAGTTAAGAAAATCATAAACTCGTTAAAAAATAAAAAAAGCACCAGGAATTGATGGGATTCGGTCAGAAATTTTAAAAGAATTAACTAATGAAATTGCTTTACCGTTAGCTAATTTAGTAAATAAGTATTTTAGTACAGGCACTTTTCGTAGTTCTCTAAAAAATGGATTAATTAAACCTTTATATAAAGCTGGAGATAGAATAAAAACAAGTAACTACCACCCTATAACATCTACTATGAGCAAAATAGTTGAAAAAATATTTAAAAGTAGGTTAGTAAATTTTTTAAACAAAAACAAAATTATTTCAGATGGTCAATACGGCTTTAGAAAGGGCAAATCTACAGAGGATGCAATTTGCTCGCTCACCAATAATATTTATCAAGCTTTAGATAAAAAAACGCTTTCCTTATGTATATTTGTTGACCTCTCTAAAGCCTTTGATACTGTTAATCATGAAAAACTACTTGGAAAACTAAAATGTTATGGAATTCGAGGAAAAACGTACAACTTCAATAAAGATTACTTAATTAATAGGATACAATTTGTAGACATTGATGGAATCATCAGCAAAGCTAGAACAATTACATGCGGAGTACCTCAAGGGACAGTGCTTGGACCCATTCTTTTCCTACTATATATCAACGATTTACTATCATATTCAACAAGAAGGAAAGTTATTAGCTATGCTGATGACAGGGAAATGTTTTATAAAGCCAGTACCTGGGATATTTTAAAAAAGGATGCCGTAACGGATTTTAAAAGAGTATTTAGCTTCATATTATTTACCATTGAGAAATTCATCTTTCGCCATTATGTTTGATTGTCAAAACGTATCACCATCGCCATCTGTTGTACGCCACTCGATACGTTTGTATACAGCACGTTGTTTAATATAGCCGTAAGTATAATGAAATTAGCCTTTAAGTGGATACTGATTAGGATGATATCTCTAAAAGACTTTATCCCAAAGACTTAAATTTGTTAAATCTCTTAAAACTTGTTTTTTATCTTCATATAATTTTATGCCTCTATTTAGTTCCCTAACTTTTACACCAAACTCTTCAATTCTACGTCTATTCTCTTCGCTGGACATCTCGATACTAAGAAAAAAATATTATTACATTATTAAAAAAAGGTCCTTTGGCATTGCCCAGGATTTTTCTCTTCAACGTTCATCTATACATAATGCCGTTTTTCCCATTTGAATCGGACCAGTAATATTCGAAGAAACACGCTTAGGCCCTTCTGGCTTTTGTTCTGCGCATGATTGTTCTGTCCCTTTTACCCTCAGATCGTATGTCTTACTCTTTGATAAGTTGGATTTCAATTCTCGACGCGTGACATTGAAATGGACAAAAAGTGGCAATTGTAATCTTAACGATTTCCCATGTTAATTTACAAATGGTTTGGTCTCGTGCCCGTGCTGCTCATATCAAACCAATTATTTATATCATTTGTAGAAAATACATATAATGAATGTATTAGAGATAACAGAATGTTATCAGTATTTTTTCAAACGCAAACAAAATTATTATGCTAGTTAGATCATAATTTTTGCAAAACAAACCGATCATCTATATAATTTGTAGAAAATACGTATAATGACTGTATTAAAGAACAAAATGGAATGGTCTAGAAGTGGCACTTCTTGTATACGTGGTCCAGAACTCCCCAAAACAGATTCTTGGCCCAAAACACCCAATTTCTCGTGTCCTCGCTTTGTATACATGACCAACAACTCTCATTGCTATTGCATGGTCTAGAAGTCTCATACGGTTCCTTGGCCGAGAACTCTCATTGCTATTACATAGCCTAGACTGCATGGCCCAAAAGTCTCAATACAGTTCCATGAGATCTCTCATTGCTATTTTATGATCTATATCTCACAATACCTTGATTTAGAACTCTCATTGCTATTGCAAAGTCTAGACTGCATGACCCGAATACTCATTGCCACCCCTCACTGATCCAGTTATCTCTTTGTTATTTTACTCGGATGGTTTTATTGTACAGGTAAGTACTGCGGATCTGTGTTTGAAATATTCTCAAAAATTTTTATTTCTTGAAGTACTTTGATGCGTCCAGTTTAAATAGTTTTTTTTTACATCTATAAGAGCCACTTCTTTTTCGGATACATGATAATTCTCTTCTAAATTTATAAAGCAGTTATTCAATCAGAGTTATTCCTAACTCCTAACCTCTAGGAATACAATAATATACATATTTAACATAAAAATAAAATACTTTAAAATCTTTTTCGTCTGGAGGATGACACTAACAAAATGTATATCCTTTTCTACTATTTACAAGTAATAAACTGTCCGCAAGTGATTTGAATTGATTTTGTTTCATGTCTGTACACTTGTGATTTTTAACATACAATAGTTTCTCTCAATTATTTTAAATTAAATTTATTTATTGAAAAGATATATTCGAAATTAAAAGGTATACAGTGCACGGGAGTTTTAATGAATACATCTTCGAGTTAAGAATAATTAATTAGAGCATGTTAACAACTCTTTAATCTGTTAAAGTAATATACATTTTTTCGAACGAAGTAAATCATTCTTCTTGCTTTCTCGCGTGTCTTTGATTTATCGCGCTCTTTGGAGTCTTTGGTACGCGTTGCACAAAAAAAAATATTTTCTAAAAAGTTTGCCAATGTCTATAGATGAGAAAAAAATAAATGTGACACGAGATCAAGCTGATTGTGCATTGTGGAACAATGAAGCCGGAGATACACAAGCAATCAAATTGGGCTAGTAGCTGACATGCCAACAGCTTGCATGTGCCAGTAGCTTGCAGGCTGAGGCTACTTTGGGTAAAATCTTTAAAAAGTTTATTTAATTTTTGCATATCTGCTATACAGTGCAAAATTGTTCAAAATTTTTTAGATCTCTTCCCAGACAGCACACCAAATCCTTTGGATATCTACTGAACATCCCAATATCCACTGAATGTCCAGTCCATGGTAGATATCTATTTTATATCCATGAAATGTAATTTATAGACATGCAAATGTCCATAAATAATAGTAATTATATAGCAAATTATTAAAAAATTACGCCATTGTGATCGCCATTGTGGCTAATAGTACCGTTCAGATATTTAAAATTAATTTTTTAAGGTGTATTCAATATCCCATGAACATCCACTAAATATATCAAAGTCTAGACGCGAACGCAAACCATCGTGGATATCCACTAGATGTTATTTGATTCTGCTTACTAAGTATAGATGGCGATACCACTATCGCATCTACTCATGCTCGACCCGCCGTAATCGAGTTCGATCGAAATGTGTGTCCTAATCATTCCATTAGAGACTGGAGTCGAGAATTTTCATTTATTGCTAAAGAGTCCTACTAAGGTTGGCTTTCTCCTTAGTGGGCAAAATCAAAGGCAGAGTGTTGCAAATATTTTGAGTGTTGAAAATATTTTTTATCTGCTATTTTCTTTCGACATTATTCAATAATCATTGGTTACTTATGAACCTCTACTAAAGATACCCATAAAATATTTTGCTGAATATCCGAATATCTTCTATATCCTGGGATATAGACGGACATTTGGTTGGATATCCATATTGGATATATTGAATATCCACAAAATATATTCTGTGGATATCGCTGTGATTTCTTGTATTTTCTGGAAGATACCCATTAGATATTTTGCTGAATATCCATTAGGATATCTTCTATATCCTGGATATAGACGGACATTTGGATATCCATATTAGATCCACGGAATATTTCTGATATCCTGTGGATATATTGGATATCCACAAAAGATATTCTGCGGATATCTCTGGGATTTGGTGTGTTGTCTGGGTTGAAATGTTTTGAAAATATGGAACTAGACTTTACGACTCAAACAAATATATATTCTTTTTAAAAATACCTAACGCAAGCCCCTGTCTTGAAGTAAACATTCAGATAAATATTTTTTTTTTTGATTCAATTCCTACTTTGATGAATTAATTACCTATGGGTTTTAAACTCATTTGGGCCAGACCTATCCTGCCTGGTGAGCACTCGGCAAGACAATATGAACGACTGCAATTTGACACGCTTTTCGCTTCGTTTACATATGGATAAGCAGTCTATATAAACTATATATGTCATTGATCAAAACAGAATTCTACTAACTTATCGATATCACATCTCTACAGCGATCTACTATCCGTGATTCCAACCATTTTCATAGTTTTGACTTATGACAACTGTCAACCACACGTTTGACAGAAGGTGAAGGTATCAAAAATCATAACAAAAGTTGAAAGTTTGAGTCGAGTTGAGCAAAAAATATTTTTTTTTACAAATATTTAAATACCGTCTTTGTCTCTAAATTACTAATTTAAAATGTTGAAACCGAAAGCTTTAACTCAAGTATTAAGCCAAGCGAATACCGGTGGCGTGGAAACTACTTTGTAAGTAAAAAAAAATTGTCAATAAATTTGGAAATTTATATATAATTAACCTTTTACAATACTATTATCGCTTGGTTATTAGGATGATCATGTCATCAGGCTAATTTCAAAACGTACTTTCTGCCCTTCTAAGCAACAGTTTGTACTTGACATTTAATTTTGAATGTAAAACATATTTTTGCTGCATAATACTTTATACATTAAAAATATACTGCACTAGAGCTTACAAAGAAGATATTATCTCCAATATATTCAAAAATGCAGATACTTTCATGCTTAGAAGGTCAACTTTGGGTAAATGTCTAGTTTGAGCATAGGTACTTATAGGTATTGCTGTTGTAAACAAAAAACCTAAGGTTTCTACCTTAATTTTTTAAATAAAGGGGAGTGAATAGGGGTGCTGGGTGGGTAAAACAAAATGTGAACTCAGAAAATTGTTTCATTTTTAGATTGCTCAATACAGAAGGTTCATTATTAGCTTACAGTGGCTATGGTGACAAAGATGCTAGAGTCACTGCAGCTATAGCTAGCAACATTTGGAGTGCTTATGAAAAAAATGGAAGGAACGTTTTCAGAGAAGATCATCCACAAATAATCTTAATGGAATGCCAGGAGGGCCGTATAGCAATCACGCAAGTGGCTAATGTTTTACTGTGTCTATATGCTAGAAGTGCTGTAGGTTTTGGAATGCTAAAACAAAAAGCTGCAGCTCTAGCTCTGTATTTAGAAGGGCCTTTGAAGCAAGTCGCTTCGTCTAATATGTAGTTTTAAGTGAAATTATATTTTTATTTAATGTAAATAGCTTTATATTAATTTGAAGAATGTCAACAAATATTCATGTGTGACAAATGTTTTAATTTTAATAAATTTTTACTTCCACAAATGTATATTATTATTATTAAAATAATGCAAATAGTGAGCTATAGTGATTTTTTAAAAGAAAAATGCCACATTATTGATAATTTATGAGAAACGATTGACTGATTTTTATTTTAATATTTTAACTTTTTTACATCTTTTAAGGTACATGCATTATTTTATAGGACATTTGGTATACTGTAACCCCCATATATCCCTTTGATTTTTGTTTAATTTTGAAGTTTTATTATGTACCTCAATTTTGTTTTACTTTAAATTCTATACTTACTATATTTGGCCTTTTTCCTCTAGTAGTAGTGATTGTCTAGTTAAATAATTGATAATTTATACATGTTGTGATAACGTTAATTAAAATAAACCAAGATTGGCCCCAGAGACACTTTTAATCAGGACATCAAGTAATTTAACACATCAAAAATTCAGACATTTTGATGGTACTATGATTTGCATATGATAAGTATTAAAAGTAATTTTAAAAAAACGACTTCAAAATCGTGCAATACCGTCACCACATCTTAACCAAATTTATATGGAACCACCCCTGAGGTACCCCCCTACTAACAAAAAAAGTATCATAGAAATTGGACAAGGTGGTAAAGAATTACTTCTAAACATACATTAAAAATAAAGAATTTGAGGATTTTCTAATGGACCCAATTTTTAGATTTTGACCAAATTAATATGGGACCACCCCTGAAGTACCCCCTTTCTAACAAAAAAGAATCATTGAAAGCGGACACAGTGTTAAAGAATTATCGCTGAACATATATAAATAAAGAATTGAGAACTTCTTTTTTTGAAGTCTGACAAAAAATGCAGCCCTTTACAGCCTTAAATATTTATATATATTTAAGGAACCCTATATATTATATTTTTTATACAAATTACTCAAAAAATGTCATATTTGACTAATTCCTATTATACTTTCGATTTGAGTTTATTATACAATATGCATTGTAAACCTTTTTTTTGTTACAGATTCATGTCATCCTAGGAGAAATAAGAGAAAACTTTAAACCAGATATGTTTAAGCCCAAAATATGAATATTTTCTGTTAGATGATGAGAAAATGGTTAAACATTTCTTAAATAATGTGCCATTGCATTCAAGTGCCTGTTTTTCTTTAATGGTAAGTGTTTATGTGTAACTTAGATTTAAGTTGAATAGAGATTAGAACATTTTTATAGTTAACCATAGAAGAAGCATATAACTATCGTAACATATTAGGAGGGAGAAAAGAATATAAATCTAGGTATATCCTTACATTCCTATCAACTATATGCTGGTAGAACTTAGCTAAAAAGAGTTGAATTGAAGTAAAAAATAGGGCTAAGATGTTTTATTCCATGTTATAATACAGTATCAAATTGTAAAACCGGTAGGTACCTAACGATTCCCAATCGAATGTCCAGAAAATTTGATATTTTTGATTTGTACTTTTTCACCCCACAGTAGCCAATTATTTTTAAATTGAATTCGTTACTCGATATACCCACCTAAAATTCGTTCTACATAGTTCTGAAATCTATCTAAAATGGAATTTTATTTCTTTTATAAATTTAGAATAATTGGGGTTATTTTCTTTCTTCTATACTTTTCAAATTTTGTTGTCCGTTTCTTGAAGAAATTTGGTATTTCTTCTATTTTGTTATTTGCCTTTCTTCTCGTACAATAAACAATCTAAAAAAATTGTGGCCAAATTATTGATAAAAACAGGGCAGAGGTTAATTTACCAATTTTCTTCAAGAAAGAGGCACGTATTTTAAGATGGTATAGAAGAAGAATGACATCTGTCAAATGTCAGTCTTCTTTTTTACCATCTTAAATTAGAAGAAAGAAAATAACCCCATATTTTTTCTTTCATTTGAATTTAAAATTTTTTAATTTCCGCAGGTAAATGCAGGTATTTCTTGGAAAATATAGTATCAGTTTCATATATTTGTAAAAATTTTAGCTAATTTTGTAGTTTCTGTAGCCAAATTCACATATCTTATCTTTACTTTTTCAGGTCTATTTTGGGACTTGATAATGGCCTTAAGTTGTCATAAAACTTGATCTGGAAAAGGGAAAAATGATATTAAAAGATTAAGAAGACCTGTTGTGGGAATGACCGTCCCGAATTATACAAAATCGCCATATGATACATAACGTAAGTACAAAATACTTATTAAGATAGAGCTTTGTTCTGGCAGTTTTATGTTCATATACTAGAAATCCTGATACATAAATTTGAAATAAAGAGAACAATGTTTTTACCATGCTCTTTCTATTATAGCCATAGGATATTTGCATGTATATTGTGGTCCACCTACCTATTATTCTATTTATCTCTAATCAATACTGTTGTGTTTCTATGCTGTTCTGAGATTGTAAGGAAATAGTTAACATAGTGTATAGTACGTAATTAAAAGTCTTATATTGTAAAGTACTTAATAATAATAATGACAGATTTATAATATCTTGGTATAATTTTGAAGCTTTATAATAAATGCCAATTTATTTTAAGATTTCTTTAATTTAATTGGTATTTATAATGCTTTGAGAAAACAGTGTGCATTTAACCCTTGATTTACAATTACCAAGATGTGTAGGAAAGCAAATTTAAAGTTTAAACTGCTGTCCTATCAAGAATGGTCCCATTTGCAAAATTAGCAGTTTTTTCAATCTCTATGCATTTGCCTACATCTTGTCTTTCTTGATACCAAAATGGAATGTCCTATTTGTATTGTAAAGATACTAAAACATAAAAGAGGTTTAGAAGATAACAAATGTCTGCAAAAAATAGTTAAAAATTCGAAAATTGCCAAACAACAACAGTAAAGGTGAACTAAATACAAATTTTTCATACTTTTAGGTAATTGTTTACAAAAAGATGTTATTTTGTATATATTGGCTGTCTGATTGTATCAATTAATTTACTAGACAATTATAATGATATACAATCAGATTTTTCTCTCATTTGAATTTAAAATTTTCCAATGTTTGCTGGTAAATGCAGGTATTTCTTGCAAAAAATATAGTATTAGCATTGTTTAAAGTATTAGTTTCATATGTTAGTAACAACTTTAGCTAATCTTGTAGTTTCTGTAGCCAAATTTTTATATCTTACCTTTACTTTTTTAGGCCTGCTTCGAGTTTTGATAATGTTCTTAGTTATAATCTAGAAAAGGGAAAATTAAATGATTAAGAAGATGACTTGTTATGGGAACGACCATTATGATTTCTACAAAATCTCCATAGGACTCTTGCAAAATAGCAGTACACAAATAAATTACGTAAGTACTAAGTACATATTAAACTAGAGCTTTGTTCTAGCAGTTTAATGTCCATATCATATACAGTATGTTAATCTGATACATAAATTATATTTAGAGGTCAGTGAAATAAAGAGAACTTGATTTATTTATTTATTATACTGGAAAACCCCATTATTAAAAAAAAATTAGTGTCTAGACAAATATTTACTTACTATAATAATACAAATATTTACATACTACAATAATACAAACCTATTGAGATATATTTCTGTTTTTTTAAAAGAATATAGATTGACAGAAAAATTGATATCTAACTCATTTCTGACCATTCTTGTCAAAAGACTAAACTATCCATAATTTTTTATTGAAAGGGCACAATAAACAAGTCTTTGTTTCTCGTACACTTTTGATGAATACAAAACTGAATAAGTTAAAGCATATTGCTGAAATTAGTTAAACCTGAAATCAATTTATATAATACAACAAGGTCAACAGTTAATCTACGAAATTCCAGCTATTATAAACTCAATCATCTCTGTATATTATCATACTCATATTCTCCATGTCCTATTCCCAATTTGTAACAGTATCTTAAAAACTTATTCTGAACAGCTTCAATAGATGAAATATGGACATTGTAAAAAGGTGTCCAAATGAGCAGCCCATATTCAAGCAGAGATCTAACATATGTAAAATATACTGCTTTGTCTGAATTTATCTAGAGTTTCTCAATATAAATCCAAGAGTTTTTAAAGCTTTACCAGTGATCTGATTAATATGTAGATTAAATGTCAGATTCTACAAGCACTTTTATCTAGTTATTCTATTGAGGAGCGTATTGCAAATAGAATAATCGAATTCAAAGACGATTTTTAAATCTGCTAAGCCTAAAAACTGATGGCATTTGTCCTCCAATAGGTACACTTCACTCTGAATTACTACAAAAACATAACTTTTTCAGTCTCGAAAGAAGGTGTGATTATAAAATTATTTAAAGTATTATTGACTGCCCAAAGTTATTAGGAAAGTTTAATATTTGCATTCTCAAAATTTCTTCCAGACAACCAAATACTTTTTATATAAATACATCTCGCACAAATGTTTTCTTAATTAATTAAGTCCTTTTTATGTGCTTAATGTTTATATAAAAATTCTGTGATGTAATAATATTCTGAAAATTCCTGCTCTATATTTGGGTTTATGACCTGTAGAGTATTGTACTATTGCACCCTACCAAATGTAATTATGTAACATTTAGAAATATTGAAAGACATACAATTCTTCACAGACCAGTTATGAAGAGCTTGTACATCAATTTGAAGAAGAAGAAGAAGAAGACAAGCAATTATATTACAAATAGCCATGTAAAGTTTTAAGTTATCTGCAAAAAAATAGAAACTTGGCATATTTGAAAATACTACCAATGATGAATAATAGAAACAAGGGCCCTAAGTGAGAGCCCCGTGGGACTCCAGAAGGCACCACAAAGATAGATAGATATTTATTGATGTAAAATAAATATTTTACATGTGTCAATGTTAAAAGTATAAAAAAAAGATATTGTGGCGATAATCTAATTTATTTATAGTTTATTTAAAACATACTATTTACAATTTATTTATGACGGACTATTTAATTTATATAATACTTGACACTAACAATTCTAATTTATTTATTTCACTTCAACTTTTCATTACAATGTTCTCTACTAAACTGTCTATAATCAACTGACTGCCGTCTTCAAACTCGCGATATTTA